TAGCCAAAGAACATTTAATAACTTAAATAACTTAAATGTAAAAATGTTATTTAGATAAATTAATGAAGTTGTACATAAATATAAAATATAATATAATCATGGATGTGAAGAATCAATACTGTGAACGTTAGTTCTTCCCAAAAGTAATCTATAGATTGACTGCAATTCCAATAAAAAGTACAAAACATTTTGTGGGTGAATGTATGTATTTATGGACATTTGTGTATACAACACAACACAGTGTTTTAAAAATTTAAATTAATATCAATTAGGCCAGTGCACTCTTGAGCTATTAGAAGATAAGAGAAGCTATGCTACTAGATAAGAATTGTCAAAATGCTACAGTAAGCAAGTTTTTGGTATGAATGTGTGGGTTAACAAATAGACTGATAGAACTGAATAGAGTCCTGAAATAGACATGCTTATATGTGGACCCTTGCTTTATGAAAAAGGTGAAATTTCAGGCCAGTGGGGAAAGGACTTTAATTAATGACAGTTAAACAACTGGAAATCCATAAAGAAAACAAAATACAATTGAAGCTCTCCTTTCACTACACAAAAAAATCAACTACAGATGGATTAAAGACCTGCTTTTTAAATTTTTATAAAAATGATCAACCATACATATAAGTATACAGAATAGTAAAATGAACCTTCATATATTCTATCATCTAGAGCAGAGGTTTTCAACTTTTTTCATCGCATGGCACATGTAAACTACTTACTAAAATTCTGCAGTTGAAAATCGCTGATCTGGGTCAAGGAGAGCATGAATAATGCTGAAGGGGAAAGGACTGGAAGAAACTGGGGATATTGGTGGGATCAGTAACAAAAAGGATGAAGATGATATAAATTGAGGAGGATAGAAAATAGTAGCTCTTTCTCCTCCTTTGTCTCCAACACTGATGGCCTTGCTGCTTTCATGGACCTTCGTTTTCAAAGAGTAGGACCTGGTACTTAGCCATGGCTTGGGAGAAAGCTACCTGGGCCATGAATCTGCTCATTTCATCTCCCACCACACTCACATTTGCGATTACCTCTGGAGCTTTGGAGAGTATGTCTTGATGTACCTGTAGATGTATGACTTGACAGTATGATTCCAGAGACTCATGACAAGGGGGTGTTTTGCTCTGGAGATATCCTGAAGATACTGCTGTCCTGCAGAAAATCCTTTATGTAGATCCCCACCACTGGGGCTTGGGTTACTTAATTAAGGAGAAACAGAGGGGTCTCTTTCCTTCCTGAGGTCAGAGGTACCTTAAATGGTGAGAGGATTCCACAGAGTGATTCCACAGTGGTCAAGGAGCTTCCTGACATGTCAGTGGAAGGCTTCCTCCTCTAGCACATGAACTACCACCAATCTGGGCAGGATGTATCATGGAATTGTCTTAATAAAGTCCATGCACCATCAAAATGGGATTTGAATCTCCTGATTTAGAAAGGCTGCAGTCTCATTCTCTGAATGAAATTTGGGTTACCCATAAATAGGGTCACAAGTTTGTTGGCTGAGAGGTCCCCACAGGAGGAAAGAGTCCATGCCATCTCATCTACCCATTGGGAGTTGCTAGCTTAGAAATGGCCCACCCCTGTCTCTGGTCCATACATTTATTTTCAGCTGTTCCCACCATTGACAGGAGTCTCAGAAGAATTCAGAAAACCTGAGATTCCAAAAGAAGTTTACTTGTAGTTTTGCAGAGATTTCACTAAAGGATTGGGGCATCTTCAGGTCCACTTTGTCCAGTACCAACTCAGCTATAGTAGGACTTGCTTTCCTCCTCAATTTTGGTTCTAGTGTTTCAAACTCAGTTAGCTTCTCCTTGTAGCTAGAACTAGGTGCTAAATCTTCAGTGCTAAAGGTAGAAAGCTCAGGTAAGAAAGGTCTTATCCCAAACCTGGAAACAGCTAGGGGCTTGGTTTCAGCTCTTGGCCCCATGACCTCTGGAATTTTGGTAGTGCAGATGTTTGAAATAGTAAAGTACTGTCTTTCCTTTTCCTGGGAGGAACGGATGAGGGGAATGATTGCTTGCCTTAGGCTCCTATTGAACACTGAACCCATACCCACACACCATGAAGGTGTGAGCTTTAGCTAGTGCAACTGCTCCAGATGTGAGTAGTGGTGATTGGCTCATAGTGGCTGGAAGGACAAATTGCAAGATACAGTTCCCCGCCCCCCAAACCAGAAAGCCCTCCTTCAAGAATGGCAGACACTCTCAGTGATGAATGGCAGCATTTTGGTATTTTAATGTAATTTGCTGACTCATGTGTCAAAGTTAAAGGTGAGAAGTCTACAACAAAAGAACCAATGAGTACCTCTGACTGGGAAGAGGAGCAAGTAACTTCCCTGCAAAGATCACCTGTCCTTATAGTTGGGTTGGGCTATAAGTCCTAGTTAATGTGTTGTGAATGTGAGTTATGTGTGTCCTTTCCAACCACTGCAATGTTTAACCCCCTTCCCACTTTCTCTTCCCCCTGTTACAAAGATTGGAGAAGCTTCACATGTAACATATCAATTGAAGCCTGTGTCCGTATGTCCCTAAGTGGCTACAGGAAGCAGAAATTTCCTTGATGACCTGCAGTGGACACAGAGTGTGAGGGAAAAAAAGATGTTTTTGGGTTAATCCTGGGATTTCAGGTCCCTTACTGGGGACCTGGCCTGCAAGCCAGGCATATGCCCTGACTGGGAATCAAACCAGCGGCCCTTTGCTTCACAGTCTGGCGCTCAGTCTACTGAGCTACACCAGCCAGGGTAAGATAGAGCTTGCAGTGGTGCACCATGCCTAGAGTGAGAATGGGCTGGCTAGTTTGTCAGGGACTGGAAAAAGAGAGGACTGGAAGAGGCACCCAGATGAAGAGGGTCTTGCCCAATAGAAATAGGGTATTCCAGGCAGAAGTAGGGTTGGGGTCCATTACCTCCAATAAATTTTAACCTCTATTTTCATAATGTGATATTAAAGGGAGACTTTGTAACAAGATGATTTATAATTAAAATTTAGAAATCTAGAGTTGAGGATTCAGAAATGCATCTTGTTGTAAGTCTTAGCCTTGCTATTGGAAGAGCTCATATTCAACTTCTGGCACTTGTTCACTGTGCAGTCTCTGAGCTGCTTCCAGACCACCAGACAGAAACTTCTTTGAGTCACATGATGAGTAGGTCCTTATCTCCTTTTGCTCTTAAACCTATCAGTATACTGTAATTAAGGTTATTAAAAAATAAAACACACTTGCCTTAATTCTGTATACCTTACTAATTTCCTTGAGATTCTGATCAAGAGGAGTTTGGGAGAGACCTAGACTGAGTAAGTAGCACCATAGCAGTACAAGGGGCCCCTGAGAGGCCCTGTCATGGCTTAGAGGAAGCTAGGCCAATGTAGGAGGCTGGAAAGAGAGGCCTTCTTGAAAGCTTGGAGTGATTGTGGCAAGAGCTCTTTCACCCTCGGAATTATGGAAGCCATAAAGGGGGAGGGATACCACATCCTCCTTCTCTCACCCTATACCTTAGGGTACTTGTACAATACCCTGAGTGGGTAGTAAGTGACAGTTGGAACACTCAAGGTGTACAGGCTCCACCTGGGGTCACAGGTCATGTTCAGACTTGCTGACTTGTCAGAGAGAACTTAACCAGCAGAAAAAAACTCAGCAGATAGGGATTATATCCTAAGAATCCTAAAACATCAATATCAAAGAACCTATGCACCACAATGTTCATAGCAGCACAATTTACAATAGCCAAGAGTTGGAAGCAACCTAGGTGCCCATCAGTAAATGAATGGATCAAAAAATTGTGGTACATATACACAATGGAATTCTATGCAGCAGAGAGAAAGAAGGAGCTACTACCTTTTACAACAACATGGATGGAACTGGAAAGCATTATGCTGAGTGAAATAGGCCAGGTGCTGAAAGACAAATACCATATGATATCACCTTTAACAGAAAGCTAAACAACAAAACAAACAAGCAAGCAGAAAAAAAAAAACAAAGACACTGAAATAGAGAACAAGGGGACAGTGACCAGAGGGGGAGAAGGAAGGGAGGTTAAGGGGAAAAAGGGGGAGGGATTTGGAGGAAAAAATAGGAAGGACACAGGGATGAGAACTAAGGGGGGTGGAAATGGGAGGGAGGTGGGGAGCAAGGGGCGGGGGAGGCTGGGATGGGAAAAATAAACAAAAAACTGTACTTGAAAAATAACTAAATAAAATTAATTATAAAAAAATAAAATTAAAAAAAAACCTCAGCAGATAATAGAAGGCTCCAAATATACTGTGACAACTGCCCTTGCCCCAACTGCATTTTCTCCTTCTGTATGTACATGTGACAACACCAGCTCCCCCATCCAATGGGAAGATCAGCAAAGCAGCCCCTGCAAGGTGTGAATGCACAGCTCTCTCTTGGCCTCCTTTGGTTACAAAAGGGATCACGGAGGAGCCATTAGGTTAGGAGTCCTGTTGTAACTGCAAGGTCTCCATCAAAAGGTACTTGGAGGTGGGTGCTCTGACAAATGTGGGCTGCAGCAAGAACCTTAGCACCATCAGCATGGTGTTTTAATGTGACCCCGCAAACTTTTAAAAACCTGAACATGATGCCCTCATCCCTCCTTCACAGGGCTTTCTTGATCTCTATTCTGCACACCCACATGGGCAAAGATTTTTTAAATGTTTTTCATGAAGACCCCTCTGATGGAAATAAATGTGGACACATTTTGGCACCAAAATGGCTTTCTATGTCTTAAAATATTTTGTTTCAAATGGCTTGTGCAAAAATGGAAACTAATTTCAAATGTGATATGATCATTTCCCATCTGTTTGAAAACCATAGATTCAAATGTCCCGGGGTATGAGGAGGGCAATACCCAAAGCCAGGGGCAGGGAAGGTGAAGGTGAGCAATGGAAGCCAGAAGTTTCCTGTGCTCAGACAAAGCTCCCTACCAACTCAACAGAGAAGAAACACAATGACCCATAGCATATTTGCCATTATATATATTTATTTCCTTCTTTTGGCTATTTACAAAACTTTATTTCAGCATATTTTTCAGAAGCATAATTTTATGTTTCTTCATGTTATCCTTCTTTGAAGTCAGAACTGGCCTTTTTCATGCAATAATTTACATTTAATATGAACAAAGGGCACCAGTTATTTTGTGGGGTCTTTGCTGCTCTGCACCCTTTTGTGGGTCAGGCCATCCAGGGCAGAGGGGTCTTGTTCCTCCTCCTTTCTTGGTGCTTGTTGCCTGGGCCCAGCACCTGTCCTGGAAACATACATGCGTGTGTGTGTGTAATTTTACTTTATTCCATCTGCCTCCAGAATGACACTGCCTTGGCTGCCTTTTGAAGATTCTTTGGCACTGTGGTCAGTTGCACCACACCTGGTCACCTTCAATTCTGCTGATGACCATTGACTCCAGGGACACAATATGGCAAGATGGTCGGCGCAAAGTCTCACACATGTTGAATCAGCAAAGGTGAATCTGACCAACTGGGGCTATTTCATAATTGAAACATATGAGAGAGACACTATAACACCCTCCCCCTCCCAACCATGAAAACCCAACACTGATAATAAAGATTTCATATTGATCACAAGACACTATACAACAAACACGAACACACTGCACTTTGTAAGACAAATCACAATTTCCTTTGATGTGCAGCACCACAGTAGGGTACCATGCAGGTGGATAACTTAGCAAATGCATTCATTAGTTAATAGTTCAGAGGATTAGCTCTTTTATGTACAGAATAAGTATTGGCCACAGTCTCAGCAAAACAGCTCTAAATATGCAAAGAATTTGGAGCCTTGCTATTAACAAGATGACATGGATTGTAAGAATACATTTGACAAGCTCTGGTATGACCCAACAGATCATCTGTTATCTCTGCAAAGGCACCCCACAATGGCAGGTGAAATGGGCAAGAATTTGGTAGGAAACATGTCACATGTCCCTACAACAAAATGACACTTTGGAGAAATAGAATCTTTCCCATAGTAGTGACGTAGAGGGGATTCTAGGGAGAAAGTTAATATGATAGTCCATGTGAGGAAAAGAAAGGGAAGGTGGGTAGAGGAGTAAAGTGGAGGTTGCTCCATCTCACACTCAGCAACACTCTTCCCTCTTCCACAACTCCAAATATCACCACAAGCACTCTCTGATTGGCTGGGGCTGACAAAGGTTCCATGGGCTGAACCCCAAGAGTGCCTTGTTAGATGCTCTGGACTTCCAGAGTTACTTGGTGTGAGGTGTGGAGTGGGAGGGGATATAGGCAGCCAGTTAGAAGAGGGTATGCCTGTACCACTGGGGACAGCTGAGGAGGGAGCTCAATGGCAATGCTGAAGACAGACATACATAGAACATGACAAGAGAAGATCTGGCAATTTTCAGGCTAAAATGGTCAACTACATGGTAAATTCAGAAGGTTCAATTTTCTTAAAAGGTGTCATTGCCAGACCTCCACCTCACCTTGACACTTAACCTCACACAGCATGAGTTGCAGTAGAGTTCAACACATTGCAGCACATTAGGGCAAGATATTCTTTTTAAGGTATACTAATATATCTAGCTACATGGATCTATAAGATATTTACAACTGGCCTCTGTACCCTTCTTCAGGGTTTGAGGTCTTCCTGTGCATTGCTGCCAGACATATCTTAAAACCCCTTTTTTGTCCCCTACTGCTCCAGTCTCTTTCACTAGTATGACCTCACCCTAAATGAGCTGCTTACCTCCTACAGGGGTCATAGGCCTTCCAGGATCCTGGAAACCCAAACCCAAACCAATCAACCAATGTTTAAACTTTTGTGTAGTCATTGTAGGAGCTTCATATGTAGGGTCATTGCTTTCCCTCCAACCTGGATCTCTCTGTGAGGGGTGTCCAAAAAGAAGCAATCTTAAACATTTCCATGGCAACTTTCTTGTTCTTATCTGTCTTACAAGGTTTGTTGGTGTATGTGTGCATACAAGTATAAATGCATGTGATTGTGTTTGTGAACATACATACATGTGGCAGTGTTTGTGCATGTCTGTGTATATATGTATATACTGATGAAGGTGAGTGCCCAATGTGTGTATGCATGTATATGTGACGGTGTAGGGCTCTGTGGGTGTGAACATGTAGGAGGCTATATTTATATGATGCCTTTATAGAAAAGAAGAGAAGAGATGACAAGCTGGGCTGAACTAGGCAGTCAGTCCTTGGCGCTCTTTGTACTTCTCTCCTTGGTCGGACTTCTCACCCCTTTGACTATCTCTTTCCTTGGAGGAGGTGAAAAGGGAAGTTCCTAATCTAAGGCTGAAGTTCAGCCAACAGCCATCCCAGGGTGACTACTAAAGCGCCCCTGCCCTGAATGGGCCCACCACCACAGTCCATGCCTGCAGCCATCTCCCAGGCACCTTTGGTTCTCTGCATCCGGTTGCTAGCAGCCAATTCCCTGGGCCATTTCCTCACATCACCCACCTGCTTGGGGCTGCCTCCAAGGTCAGGCTTACAAGGTGATTGGAATAAAGGGATGAGTTATAAAGGCAGTAATATAACCATCTCTCCAGTTCTTTAGCTTTCTATATAATACTTCTGTTCTCAATGCATCTTCAAGGCATCCAAAACATGTCCTTCCAGGACAATGCAAACTGCTCTTCACTACCAGTTCACCCCACCATTGAGAATTCCTACCTCAAGGCACTAAATTATCACTTCCTAGGACTCTAGGACTACATTCACTTCTTCTGTGTCTTCTATCCAGGAGATAGCACAGATGGGTGCAGGGAGAAAGACAGGAGTGGATGGGGACCGGGAGATGCTGCTCCTTGGAATAGGAATTGAATGAAACAGTTAATCAGCCTAGCCAAAGAGCTCCCTCCTCCTTCTGTGGGAACAGGCCAAGGGAATTCTGGTGGTTCTAGAAGAGCCGGCAATAAGAAATACATATGCTTTCAGGTGTATTTCCCTTCATACCCATTCAAATCAGATAAATAAACATAGGTATGCACACATGCACTTGGACACCCAAATTACACCCATGTGTATATGCACAAGCACACACATACATAACTCAAAAGTTTACACACTCTTTCATAGGGGTGTGCACAAGCATATATGTATCCACACATTGTTATATATACACTCTTAAACGCACCAATAAAGATTTACACTGATATACATATAGCTATATAGCTTCTTAATAGTTGTATGTGCACACAGAACCACCTTGACGCACACACACACACCCTGGTATACACAGAAACACAGTGAAAAGAGGAGGTGGCTGAGGAGTTTCAGGGCAGGCTGCCTAGGGAGAAAGGAGGCCCATAGGCTGAGTGCTTGGCAAATCTTGTTCCCTTATGGCCTCCATCAATGAGGTGGAGTTGCTTGGCAAGTTGGAGCACAAGCTAATTTCTAGTTCCCTTAGGAGCTCCACTGTGTGGGCAGTGACTATATTCCTTATGTTCGGTTCACACTGGTCACCAGCCTCTTCCTGCAGACATGCTCCAGGTGTTATAGAATTAGGTCTGGTGCATGGTAGAACCTTACTGAGCACCCCATTTTTAAAGGGGAGGGGAGAAAAAGGGAGCTCCTCAATTGGGAGAGTTAAGAGGACAAGAAGGAAGAGTAAGTGGGGTGGCTCTATCACTCACTGGCTATACATCCTCAAGCTCCATTTTTTCCCTCTTGGAACACTGAGGAGAATGTGCTTTGCCTTCCCTGGCTCACAGGGCCTCTGTGAGGGTCTGACAATGTGATGGATCAGTGAGCTCATTGACACTATGCACTGAACAAATAGAAAGGATTAGTATAGAGATTCACGACAGTTGTTCATTTGCTATTCTAGATCAGATGGTGAAGTAGCATGTCAGAACTTTTCTAACCCTAGTCTTGTTTCACCAAGTGCTTGCTCTGACTAGTGATCAACTCAACATCTGACCTATACGAATATACTAAACTACCCATTGCCAAGAGTTCTGAAGCAGAGATATAGACAGGAGAAGTTTCAATCATCCAAAGATGCCAGTTCAATTTGGATAATCTCCAAACCGACATCACTCACCCTCTGCAAGCTCCTGCAAGAAAAATGCTCTCACTTATCCTGACATCTTGCTATCACCTTGACTACCCACCTCCATTTCACTCCCAACCCTGTGCTACAACAACACACTCTCAAAATACAACAGACGAATAGTGGAGAAAGTCACTTTCAAAATTCAATTTCCCTAGAGCTAGTCCCTTGGCACTTCCAAGCCAGAGCTGCCCACCTCTCGTGCATCCTAGCCCAATCAAGCTTGACTTTCTTCCCTAAAACTATAAGCAGTAGGTGAGCAAGGATCATAATCCCTAGCAGGAAAAAAGAAAAAAAGTAATGAAAAAATTAACACTTCAGGGGGACAGAACAGCCCCCAGAAATGTTTGTGTGCAAGGCTCAGCTCCTTCTACCCCTCAATCTGGCTCCTCTCTGTCCTCTCCACATTTCCAGGGGCTTTTCTGTGCTGATTAGATGTTAAAAGTCTTTGAAAAGGTGACAGTCTTCTAACAGAAAAGGAGAATCAGTGAGTTATTTACTCTCCACTCCTCCTCAATCCCTTTCCTTCAAGCCAGAACACATTCTTTCCAACTACTCTCCACCTCATGTTTATAGAGAAAAAGGGATAACTGATTTGACTGCCCAAATAACCTAAAATAAAACAAAGAAAAGAAGGCAAAATAAAACCAAAAGAAACTGTGAAAAGAGCACAGCACAGTGTTCCTACTGCTCTGGGGCAGTATGAGACTAAATGGCATTGTATGGCCAGTAAACAACATTGAACACCACAAAGGCGATAGGAAAGATGATCCGGGACCACTTATCAACCTTAGAGACGTAGTCAGGGTCAAAGAGATCATACAAAAACCTTTCACTGAAGGAGTACCCAGGGCTTGGGGGGCAACTATCACCAGACTCTGAATTACTGTCCTCGTCTTGATCAAAGCCCATGAAATTGTCACCATCACGGCTCCAGGTAGTGTCATTATCAGGTTGGAATTGCATCCTAAGGTCAGGGTAGCCACATTCAACTTTGACATCATCAGGCATGATAAGGAACTCCTCAGATCTTCTAGGTATCTTACCAGGGTTGCAGCATGCTTCTGGCACACACCTCTGGTTGTAGACATGCAGGGCCTGCTCTGAGGTGCAGGAGAGATCATTCAGGCTTTCTCTGATGGCCAGCCAGGACTGGCCTGAGAAAGAAGACAGTGAGCTGAGGCTTTCTGAGGTGGCCATTGGGGCCTGCTCTGGGATAAAGGTCAAAGAGTTGAGGCTTTCTGGGCTTGCCTGGCAAGCCTGCAGTGATCTAGAGGGAGGAGAGCCACTTTCATCTTTGATGTTAACATGATCACCCTTTGAGGAGACAGTAGATAGACTCAAGAAGTCAGCAGACTCAAATCCTACATGTATAAGCACTTTTGGGGAGGGAGGAGGGACTGGTCCTTCTTCATCAGCACTTGTAATGTGATTGTTGATCTCTTCCACTGACAGAATCTCCTCTTCCTGGGGTCTCTGGTGCACATGGGGCTGAGGAACAGGACCAAGAGGCTGTTAGCATGTAAGAGAAGTCCCTGGTGGCTGCCAAACATGTGTTACCCTGGGGCAGCTGCTCCCTCTGGAGTGTTGTGGGGTAGACAAAGACAAAGGTTCTTCAGGCAAGTGAGATTGGGTTCCCGGTGCAGGAAGGGGTGGTGCTCGACATTAAGGTAACACCAGCAGCAAAAGCCTCAGCATGGCTTTGGGAGTCAGAAGATCAAGGGGTAGGCCAGCCACTATGGTGTCTCTTTCTTTCAGCCTACTTGTGCTCCCTTTCCCTCTGGCTTCATTTCTTGCCCTTGGAAGCATGCTAAGCAGACCGGATTTGAAGGCCAAAGGTCTGGGTAAATCTAGCCCTGCCACTCACTAGCCTTGTGACTTTGGACAATGACTCAACTTATAGAGGATGATAAAATTTTCTATGTCTTTGTTATCTGGTATGTGTATGTGTATATTACAGGACTTACTAAAAATGTGAAAGGGTCAAGCGCTAAGCTTAGGCTAAAGAAGTATTCAAGCTGATTATTAGTCAAAATATCAAACCTGCAGACTCAGTACCTGGTAGCAATAGCGGTTCATAATTCTTCGGGCTCTCCTATGTTGCCTATGACGGCGCCGAGTTCCTCCTCGGCTGTAGAAAAGATAGTTGATGAAGACATATTCTAGCAAGGACAGGAACACGAAGAAGAAGCATGCAACCATATAGATGTCGATGGCCTTGATACAAGAAAATTGGGGGAGTTTATCCCGCAGATGTGAATTGATGGCGTTCAGGATGAGCATTGAGGTCAGACCTATAAACAACATGGCACAGGTGATTGAAGTTCTTGGCAAGCCATTGGGCCCACATCATACAGAAAGGTAGCAAAGACCAATCTAGGTGGAGAGGGCTCTAAGCAAAAAAGTCCTTCAGTTCTCTAGGCCTCAGGGCCTTTGCCTTTTGTTCCTGCTGCCCTATCTTTACACCCAGCCTGTGCTTTGATGGTTCAGTGATGGCCCATTGCTCTTAGGATCAAGTTAAAAATCTCCAGCTTTGGTTTCACAGTGATTTACATCCTCAGCCCCATTTTGCCCTATAATGGCCCTTTCCCCTTTGGCCTTCTAGCCCATAGGCATTTCTTTATTCCCTCAATACTGAGGTCAAGTCCCTAGAAGGTTTTGTGAATCCTAAAATATTACAGGAATATAAAGTTTTAGTGTAGCATGTGCTCCTAAGGAAGGAGGCTGAGGAGTCTGCTTCAAAGATGGTGAGGGAGAAACTAGACAGGGATCTGAGACACTATTCTTCAGGGTGGGGCTAGATAAACTTAGGAGCTGATTTCTTAGGCCCCTCCATGGTACTGCTCAGAAACCTTTGATCCTTCCCACTGTTTAGTCATGAAATCCCAACTGCTTGAACTGTATTTTTAAGGTCTTCCCAAGTCATCCCAGGCTTTTTTTTCCTGCTAGTTTCTCCACTTCCCCAGCTCCTGCCATAAGTACTCTATAATTCAGCCACCTTTTAGGGCCCCTGTGTCTTTAGTCAAGCTATTTCCTCTTTTAGGGAATGTCAAGTCTTGTGTCTCTGTCTCCTACAAGACTTGAAAACCCAGTATGTGTAACACTTTCCTGGTGCAGTTTTAGCCAAGACCTGGGTCACTTCCTTCTGGACTCCACTACCATCTGCATACACATTCCACTAGATATTCATTGAATGCAGCTTTTCTGGAAGCTGTCTGCTGCCTAGTAGGGCATTTTGATATGTTGCTTAATCACTGTTGTATTGTATTTCTGATTTGTATTTATGACTTGCCCATTCATTTATGTATTCAGAAAATAATGAATTCTGGTACTTTGGGCCCAACATAATGAAGATCCCAGCCCTGATTTTTTTCACACCTGTCTCCAGGGTTGGTCTCCTTCCTGAGGATTGGCTAAGTACCTGTACAAATGCCTGTTGGGTAGGACCCATCTTGTTTCCTTTCCTGTGCAGTCATACACTATTCCTAGAACTTTTCCCTTGTTCTCAACTTTTTTTCTGAGTGAGATGGTCCAAGTGCCTCTCTGGGATTGGGGGCCAGGGAGGATAGTACCTACCCACTGTCACCCTGGTTACAGAGAATTTATAGTTCATCCAAAATGTTATCCAAGAGCCAGTGGTGATGAGGACAGTAGGCCAATAGATTTGTACAAGGTAGCTGAGAATTCCCCTCTGGACCAGAAACCGCAGTATCAGTCGTACATAGGAACCTGGCAGGGAGACATACTGATATCAGGGTGGAAAGGTTAAGGGGATCTTCAGGGTAATGTAGAGAATGGAGGAAGAGAAACCAATGGGCAGTTCAGCCTCTAATATTCCAGCCTGAGCAGTCCGCCAAACTGACCACATTTGCTGCCATTAGGCCATTGGCAATGGCATGTGTCAGTAGACTGCTATGGCAGAGCAAGCCTGCTTTCTCCTCCTTCCTTGCTCCATGTCAACTGACGTTTTGAAATTGGAAAGACATGATGTGTTTCAAAGCTGCAAAGAGTTGGAGGGTGAGGGGCTGGCCCTGAAAGGAGGCCTATTTTTATCAACAAGAGCATGAATCTTTTACACCTGTAGAGTGTTAAATATGACCAAGTGCTTCCACACCCATTTCCTTATTTATAGAGGGTAAGCAACTGGGACTTTATGAAGGGATTTTTGGAAGCTTCCAGAAGCAGAAGGAAATAATAAAGGAGGCAGTGCAGAGTGCAGACGTCTCAGGCAGAGGTCTCAAGGAGTTTACTAGGGTACAATAAAAAGACAAGATACAGGAGACGAAAAAGGGGTCACACCCACCTGTGTAGAAGCGTTCCTGTTTGCTAGTTACTGTCTTTCCCAGGAGGGTGAACTGAGGGATGTGTAGCTTCTCAGTCCCCTGGACGGCATTATCATCGCCTTCCCAGTATAACATGATGTCTTCAACTGTGTAGCCATCTGGGAGATGGAGAGAAACAGAGTCAGTCAATCTCAGAAAACAGGCATAGGCAGATTTCACATCAGAGCAGTCTGTGGAATCCAAAAGATGGTCAGAACCTGCACTTTTAGGGCTTCCTTTGTGTTATGCTGACTCTGAGCATGGACAAGTGAGGCACTTGGAAAGAAAATGGTCAGTTTGGAGATTTTTAGCCAGGAAGAAAAGCCCAGCAAAGATATGCGCTCCTACTCACTAGCTGGTGCACAATTTCCCAATATCGGGGTATGATTTCCCCATGGGACTATTTACACTTTAGAGGCCACCTTCTCCCAGATGCCAAATCTATCTAATCTATCTATCATCTATCTATCTATCTATCTATCTATCTATCTATCTATCTATCTACCTATCTATTTATCTATCTAGTAGAAGAGAAAGGGAGAGGGAGGGAGTAGGGGAGATATGCCATCCCTCTCACTATCAAGTCTGTCTGGTTTCCTTATGGTCACAACCACAGGTAGGGAAGAAGGGGCCATAGGAGATAGACGTACAGCTCTCCACCTCCAGCTTGCAGGTCTGCTTGTCCAGAGGGAAATTCTGCAGATTCATAGAACAAGCTGCTGTGGTAGTGAGTCTGCAAAGAAAAAGCAAAAGGAAGGAAAAAGTGAATCTAGCCCAGTTGAGCAACCATTCCCGAGAACACTGCAGGGGTGAAAAGAAAGAGTTATCCCAAGGACTGACCCATCCCAACACTTTCCTATACTGACTGCATTAGAACTGGGCCCTCCTTCTCTCTCTCCATCTCTTCTTTTTTCCTTCCTTCCTTTCTAGAGGAAATCTGAGTTGCAGTTGTGTAGGGAGGAGAGAGGAAAATTTTATGTGACAAAGAAACCAAGAGATCTGGCAGGACTTGAACAAAGAACCCATGTGTGGCATGTCAGGACATCTCAGGATGTCAGAAAGAAAAGGGCCCTTGAGGAAACTGAATACAGAGAAAGAAAGATGGCTTTATTGATGAAGAAGCAGTAAGGCTGTCAAAAGCAGCTCCACATCTGCTGTGCAGTGGTCATGTGCAGTCCTCAGGTATGGATGTGAGCAGTGTCCCAGGCCCATCTTTGGCCATGGAAGCTGCTCCTGCCCCACAGTGCTCTCATCTCTGTGTATCTGCCTATGAGGGTACTGTAAACTAGCACAATGCCAGTGAGTATAACTGGATAGGAGGGATTAGCCTATCTGAGATGGGCCATGAAGTGTTGGACAGGGACCCAATATAAGCTGCCATGTGTTGGGTTTGTGGCAGGAATCTGAGGAGGGGTCTTGGAGAAGCTAGGGAAATGGGAGGAGTTACTGGTGCAAAGAGGGTAATTTTAAAAGCTCTCTGCAGCCTCAGCTGGGTGGCTCTGCCCCACCCCTTATTCTGCCCTCCCCATCTGTTAACCCCAGCCTAGTGCCTTTCAACCCTTGAAGTGATTTCCATTTTGCACAGTGGGTATGGTGTGTATGTGTGTCCCTTCTGTGAATCCTCCATGCAGCAGTAATCAGTTCAGGCTCCCTTTAAGTGAAACAAGTGTGACCACTGTCCTGTTCCCTGTAAGCTTTGTTGTTCTCCAGCTCCAGTGCCTTGGTCCATGGGAAAGTGGATGGAGAAGGATGAGGGAAACAAGAGACAGAGCAGGAGCATCCTAGAGAAAGAGAGACCCAGAGATAGAGCTGAACCTTGGCAGCTACCTCTTGGAGAAATTTTCTGAGCTAAATTTCTCTGTCATGCTTGTCTTAAGAGATGGTTTGTAAGAGATGATGCTGTGAGGAGAGCCATGGTAGCTATCTGCTATGCTATAAATAGGTCAGTGAGGAGTTCCAGCATGCACACATTCTGTGTGTAAAGGGCTATAGACAACAGACCCATACTGCACACCCCTGGGCCCCTACATGATGCAAATATGAGCAGTGGCAGAGATCAGTCTCCCTCCCTCATTGCATGGGCTTCAGAATTTATGTCTCTTTCCCTCACTTCATGGGGGAGGAAAGAAACAAAGATAAATAACAGAATGTATTAAGTGCTAAGGCAGAGGGAGAGCTCTTCCAGTTGAGAGAATCAAGAAAGAGTTTTTGACAAAGAGGCATTTCAGTTAGCAATTTAATGATGGCCAAGATTTAGAGTCACAGAAAGGGCCTTTCCAGACAGAAGTAACAGCAGAAGCCAGGCTGTGGGGACAGAACAGCCAACGATGTGTGTAGGAAACTGGGTAGGATGAGTGAGAGAACAATGCAAGACAGGTTTGAAAAGCAATGGGATCCTCTGTGTGTACCTTAGAGTGCATTCATGTGTTTCTCAGTGGGATGAAGGAAACCTGCCAGGAGGGTCCTTAAGCCCATGGGGAACTCACCGGAGGCCATACTGAACTGTTCCATCTGGGTGAAGCTGAAACATCCGATTTTCCACAGTCATTTCATGCACAAAGGCATCCTTGCTATTTAGAAAGTAGCAGTCAGGGACCCACAACTTCTCAAGCATCCGATAGTCCAGAGTCAGGTTCAGGTTAGTTTCATAGTATGCTAAACGTGGATCTTTCCAGGTCTGATGAAAAAATACCGTGATAGTATAGTCCTAGGGAGAGAGAGGTAAATCTCAATTGTAATCGAGGTTGTCCAGCTCCCTGTTTTCAGATAGTGTGTGTATGTATGCAGGTTTAAGAAATACATTAAAACTACAGTGAGTAATAAAACATATGTAAGCATGTTAAATGTCAGCTATTTTTTAATTGTTGTTCAATTACACTTGTTCCCATTTTCCCTCATTATTCTGCCTCACCCTACCCACCCCCACCTCCCACATTCAATCCTCCTCCACCCTGTTGTCTTTGTCCATGGGTCCTTTATACATGTTCCTTGACTTGACCCTTCCCCTTCTTTCCCCTCTTATCTCCCTCCCCTCTGGTCACTGTCAGTTTGTTCTATATTTCCTTCCATAACTCTGATTATATTTTGCTCACTTGTTTTGTTGATTAGGTTCCACTTAAAGGTGAGATCATATGGTATTTGTCCCTCACTGACTGGCTTATTACACTTAGCATAATGCTCTCCAGTTCCATCCACACTTTTGCAAAGGGTAGGAGCTCTTTCTTTCTCTCTGCTGCATAGTATTCCATTGTGTAAATGTGCCACAGTTTTTTGATCCATTCATTTACTGATGGGCACCTAGGCTGCTTCCAGCACTTGGCTATTATGAATAACACTGTTATGAACATTAAGGTGCATAGGTTCTTTTGAATTGGTGTTTCAGGGTTCTTAGGGTATAATCCCAGCAATGGAATAATAAAATGAACCTCTGGTAATTAAAATTCAGGTTAAGTAATAGAACATTACCAAGAACTTTCAAGCTTCAATGCATCTGTCCCAGAACATATTTCCCACACTTCCCAGCAGTAACCATTTAAATCTTATATTTAAATGACAATTCCCTTGCTTTTTGTTAAGAGTTTACTGTTTATGCATCTATTTCCAGGAAACATATTGCTTAGTTGAACCTATTTTAAGATTTTTTTCTCAATGGAATCATCCTATGTATATTCATAATTTTCTTTCATTCAACATTGTATTTGTGATATTCATTCAGGCTGATGTATGTAAATAAATTTGTTCACTTGCACTGCCTGAATGTTAGATAATATTTCCTTATGTAAATATACTATGTACATTATTGTGTGAACACACTGCTCATACCAAAATCATAATAAGAACTATGAAGTGAAAGTTCCATGTTACACCCCCCTCCAAGAGCAGGTGGAAGTTTCCAACTGGTGTGTCCAACTTTTGATTTTTGTCAGTCTGGTAGATGTGTAATAGGGTCTCATTGTGGTCTTATTTTGCATTTCACTGATTGATAAAAAATTCAAGCATCTTTTCATTTGTTTGTCTGCTACTTGATTATCTTCACAAAAGTAAAGTTTCTGTTCAAATGTTCTGATCATTTTATTTGTTTTTTAATATTCTTATTAATCCACAGGAATTATGTATATTTCCCATATCAGCCCTTTGTGTTGCAAATACCTTAGTCCACTCTGACTTATCATTTCACATTTGGTAGACTGGTTTTGTTTGTTTTATAAAAGATAAGTTCCAGAAGGTTTGGCTAAACAGAATTTTAATTTAGTTGAAGTTATCAGTGTTTATTTTTATGTTTGTGTTTCCTGTGTTTCTTTTAAAGTTGTTAGCTACCATAAAGGTGCAGAGTCAGTGTCCTATATTATCTTTTAGAAACTTTATAAGCCTTTTAGGTCTAGAATCTATCTGGGTTTATTCATTTTTTATTCCATGTGGTTTCAGTTTCCAAAACCTACTGTGTTTTTCCATGTGAGCTCTGTTGCAGTTCAGAACAACTGGAGTTGGCTTATGACCCTGCCCCTTGTCCCATGTAATTTCTCCCCAGTCTTATGGATGGAGTTGACACACTTACCATAGTCATTTCTGAGATATGGTCAATGCTGGAGATATACATAGATATTCCCACAGGCACAGGAGCACCTACAATACAGGAAGATGACTATTACATGCAGGGTAGGTAAAGGGTAAGAGTGTGGACTCCAGAGCCAGGCTGCCTGAGTTTGAACCCCATTTTTGACACTTGCTAGCTGTGTGACCTTAAATAAGTTACCTAACCTCTCTGAGTCTTAGTTCCCTCATGGGTAAAATGGGGATCATTTATAGCACTGATCTCATAGTTAATGCAGGCCAAGTACTTAAAGCAGGGCCTGGCCCTTGACACACTAAAAGGAAGAAATTAGGGCAATATAAACAGAAAATTAGATGATGAAGCATTCTAGTTATAAATGTTTTCCTGATTGGAACTTAGGAGCAATGAAGCCCAAAACAAGAGCTAAGATTTTGGGTGTATATGAGCATATTTGTGTGAGTGCATGTGGATGTCTGTATTTGTGGCAATGTGTTTTTGTGTGAATGAGTGTGTGAGCTGTATACATGAGTTTGTGAGCATGTTCACATATATGAGTCAAAATGTGTTTATGTGTAGGCGAATGTGTCAGTGTGTATATAAGTGTATGTTAGCATGTCTGTGTGTGAAAGAATGCATGAGTATGATTGTGTCTTTCAGTAATAAATGTGAGCATATGTACAAGTGTGCAGGCATGTTGTGTGAGAGTGAATCTATGAGTGGGTTCATGTGTAAATGAATATGTGAACATTTCTGCATTTGTGACCTTGTCTGTGAGCAAATTTTTATGTTCATGCATGGGAGCATGTTTGCATGTGAGTGAATGCGTGACCATGTACATACATGAGTAGACAGGAGCATGTCTGCATGTATGGTTATTTAAATATTAAATATTTTAATGTTTTTGAGGGAGTGGATGTGTCAGCAACTCCATAAGTGTATTCACGTGGATATGTGAGTGAGGATATGTTTGTTTATGAGCCAGTGAGTCTATGAGCACCTTTATGGGTGAGTGAATGTGTGACCACGTGCATGCATTAGAGTGTACTGTACGGGAGTGAATATGTGGGTTGTCTGTGTAACCCTGTTCATGTGTTAGAATATTTGTCAGCATGCCATGTGTGAGCAAATACATGGTTATGTCTGTGTGTGTAAAATTGTGTTTACATGAGTATATGTGAGTATGTTTGTGTTGAGTTGATGTGTCTGTGTGTTCGTATGCATGAACATGCTCATGTGTGTCTGTGTATGAGCATGTTATGTGCATGTTTGAGGGAATGTGTGCGTGCTTGTGTGAACATTTTTGCATATGTGAGTTGACTGGTGTTTATGTGATTGAATGTTTGGGAATGTAAGTAAACTTATGAGAGTGTGACTGTATGTGTTTGTGTGAGTGAGCATGTTCATTATTGAATATGTGAATGTGTTTGTGTGTGGCCTTGTTCATATGCAAGAGATCAGTGCAATAAGTGATCACACTTATACACTCAGACTCCTCACATATATGTGAGTATATGTAAGCATGTTTATGTACTTGAGCGAATATGAGCATGTCTGTGTGAGTATGTGTGTCTGTGTGTGACTAAATGTGTGACCACGCCAACATGAAAGTGATGCGGCGAACATATTCACATGTGTTAGCATGTTACGGTGCAGGTATGAACGAAATAGGAACATGTTAACATGTATGTGCAAACTGGTAAACATGTGGACATGTTTGTATGTATGAATGTTTGTATATGAGTAAATGCATGAGCCTATTTGTGTGCAAGCGTGTTAATGTGGGAGTGTGTGTATTTGAATGCATAAGTTCCTAAATGTGAATGTCTAAGCATGTGTGTAAATTTGTGAGTGTGATTGTGGATGTAAGCATGTATGTGTGTGTAAATGTGTGAGCATATATGAATTGTAAGCATGTGCATATGAGTGATGTCAGTGTGTACATATGTGTGAGTAAATCTATGAGTGTGTTGAAGGGTGTTTGTGTATATTAATGTGTGTGATTGAGTGTGTGTGTTTTGTCTCCTGGCTTTCTTTATCAGGCCTAGGTGTGAGTGCTGCCCACTCAAATGTGAACAGGGATGTGAAAATATGTACTAAACTATAAAGTGCTGTGGAAAAACACATTTTTATTGTTTCCTTGTTTGCTTAAAGCTACCTTCACCCGACTCCACAGCTAAGCCATTATTCTATGTGCATTACACCACACTACTGCTATGGAAACATGCATGATACTTGCAATTCAGCCTGCTGGCTTCACTGCAGGCTGACTGCCCCAGAAGCTGAGCACCAAAGTGGGAAATGTGTAATTCCTATCCCACTGCTTCAAAAAGCAAAGTGCTATTGGGAATGAGTATGAATGGCAGCTGAGAAGTCAATGGGCTTCTGTGTGAGGGCATAGCCCAGACTCCAGCATTCAGGATTATTGTTAATAATCTCTAGCAAAATGTTCTGTAGTGACAGAGGTTTCTAGAAACAAAGTTGTTTATTATAGCCTTTCAGGTTTCCTATATGCCTTCAAAGGATGAAGGCTGTTTTAGGCAGGTATCAAGCCTCAGAGAGTCCAGGCAGCCATCCCCTCATCACCTCACTGTACTGTCAGATTTCTCATCCTAAACCATTAGTGCCACTCAAGCAACCCTAACCCTTAAAGAGCATAGCCCTGTCCAAGGGCTCCCAAGTTAAAGCAGCAAGTGGGAGCTGAAATGCAGTCACCAAGCCATGTGTCCTGACTCAAGGATGTAGTTTGGGAGAAGGAGACCAGGGACCTTTTTTAAGTTTATCAACATAGAGGGGGATACCTTATGTGCTAGCAGGGGTTCAAGATTAGAGCTTAGCTAAAGTATTCCACATCCCTGAAAACATAACATAAGGGAGCAAGAAGCTTCCAGATAAAGTGTCTAAATGCTCTCTCTGGGTTGATGGCTTCAGCCCCATATCCCATTGCTGTCCCTCCTCGTGGGCTCAGGAAGTCAGGAAAAGTAGGAGTGGGTAACCACTTCCCTCCCCTGGGAAATCATGCTGCCCTACCTCCTCTTTCTCCCTAGAATCCATCAGAATGCCAGAGGAAGAAAAATAAATAAAGAATGATGATGATGTCCAATTTGTTCCTTCACTCCACACCTATATAATACCAGGTGCTGGGCTAGATGAAGTCCTCAGGGATTTGCCTTTGGCAACACTGTGGAGTCTACTTCTCTTGCCCAGAAAGAAGCAACTTTGTTAACTTTCCCTGGCTCCTCCTCCTCCTCTTCTCAAAGGCATACTATGGCTCCCTATTGAAGCTGACCACAATTAGGTGTGGACTCTGCATGTGGCCTTGAAACCCAGATTTCACCTCAGGCACAGAAGGGAATCTGACTGTCTAGTGGGAGGCTTTATAGGTTGTCCTGGGTTCCCCCAACCCTGAATCCCCTGACCCAACTATCCCACTGATTGCTTCCCCCCACAATATAACAGCCCTAGACCTAGAGCCTATAGTGTATCCTTCTGTGTAAATGCTAGGTCCTGTGTTGTCCTGGTCCTCTTACCTTTATCTACTGTTTCGCCAAATCAGGGACCCATCTTTTCTCATATGGTGCAGTCTGCATGCTTATAAGCTTAGTGTAACCCAAAAGGCTAGGCATCGGATATAAACAAATCCTAATTAGCTCAAAGTATGGTTGTCAGGCGCCTTGGAAATATTGTGAACAAGCCATACCTGACAATCCTCAGAGGTTGGACCTTGCCCCTGCTCCCTCCCCCTGGCCCTGAGTGCTTTCAGAGATGGCATCTTGAAACAGTTTGGTATACTTAAATGACTTTTGATCAGCCTTTGCTGAGAAACAAGAGAACAAGGAAAAGAGAAAATGTGGTAGCTACTCCCTTGACACCCACTGGTGTTTGGTGTGACTGATTCAAAACCAGTTGTCATGCAATGCGATGCTGACTGTGCCCTAACACGTGAATTCCCATAGTGAAAGAGCTTGCCCTCTGCTCTCTCCACTCCTGCTTCCCCGTCCCAGTGCACACTCACCTTGGATCCTGGGGCTGCACCTTCTGTCCTCATGGAAGGAGCACACAGCAAAGGGGTCATTAGTGAAGTCTCCATGCTCTAAGGTTAGCCCAGGGTGACCAGGTTTATTTTCAAGGTGCCTTCCTAGGCAAATCACAGCTGCACCCAAGCACTGCCCCCACCACCCACCCTGCACGGTCTACTACAAGGGAGAGTCCCCACAGTTGTGTGCCCTTTATTGTGGAGGCATTGTATATTCAAAAGACCTCTCTTCATATGTATAAATGTGACCCATTAGCATTTATTAACCCACTTGCAGTGTGAGGGGTCTACTTCTACCACCTGTAAGAAGTAGAGTGCTCTCTCTGACTTAGCTGCTCTGTTTTTTAGCTCCTTCTCTGTTCCTTTGAGAAGAAATGTGACTAACCTGTATTTAATGCACCCTTTCTTTTATTTTTCCTTGGTTTAGGTTCCTGGGCCAGAGGATATTACTCCTGTTCTGTGGGTTTCCTGTAGCTTAAAGGCCTGGTGATCTAGGTCAGTTGCCCTTTCCAAGGTGACAGATTAAGTAGAGATATAGGGAGAAAATGATATATTGGCTTCCCAGAGGTTCACTTTCCTTGTCATTTCTTATCTCTGCACTTGAGATCTGAGCACTAGGCTAAGGAGTTTGGATTTTATTTGGCAGTTAAATAAAGGCATCAAAAGTTCTTGTGGTGAGCCCTGGTCAGGCAGTTCAGTTAGTGCCATTCAGATATGCCAGGTTGTAGGTTCAGTCCCTGGTTAGGGAACTTAGAAGAAACAACCAATGAATGCATAGATAAGTGGAATTGAAGCAAATCAATGTTTCTCTCTCTCTCTCTTTCTCTTCTCTTTAAATTAAAATGTTCCTGAAATGATCAGGCTGGATTTATAAAAATCACACTGCTTGCAGTGTGCTAAATGAAATGAAGTTGGTGGGAGCTAAAGGTTTGGGGAGTTGGGGAAGAGGCAGCAAGGCAAGACAAAGAAGACCATGCCCTTAGTTTTGAACTAGCTGAATAGGGAGAGTATCCAGGGTGTGCTCAAGTAGAAGATTTTGTGCCTTCCCCATATATGGGGCAGAAGACTGAGAAGTTGGAGAAGCATGGCCTGTGTTTTGTCTGACAAACCCGTTTCTGGGGTTAGCATTTTTCAGCCACAGCAGGAAGTGTGCTTCAACTGTGCTCTATGCCATTGTAATAAAATATATGCGTGTGGTGGTGGTGGGCAGAAGTCCTCTTGCATAAGAAGGTAGAGAAGTGGGGAAAATTCCAAGGGTAGAGCAAAAGGCCTGCAGTTCTTTCAGTAAGTCTCAACAGGGAAGAGATATTAAGTGTTGAGCTAGATGAGTGCCACTGATCAGCTTACTAAGTGGGGCTGGCTTATTGTATCTCAGCTCTGTTTCACCTAACATGAAGGTTTCCAGTGTCTGGATGTGACTTACCTCCAAAATTTGGTCTCAGACGGGCATCATATTTCAATAACACCCTGTCCAAAATCTTGTGAACCACAGCTTCATTTGCACAATTTTTGCTAAAATAGAGAAGTAATCAGTAAATGTCATGTTGCTTCTCAGAGAACAAAGACCAAAGAACATGCCAGGTGTCAACTTGCCAGGGCCTTCCCTTCTACACACATGCAGACATGTACAGTCATACATGTATGCAGCTCTCCCTGCTCCCCTCCCTCCCCACAGTGAGTCAGCCAGAAGAAAAGCAGTGACGCAGACTCCTCTTTCCCGCTCCTGACGCAGAGTCCTCTTTCCCCCTCCCTCTCCATAGCTTTCATCCAGAGGATGGGGCACACAGATTGGATCCCTGTTACCAGGCAGGATTCTGGGTGGGGAAGAGAGGAGCCTGTAGGAGATGTGGAGAGAGGATGGAGTAGGGAGGTAGAAGCCCTCAGATAAATGCATTACTTCAACTCCATAAGGAGCCCCACCTTAACGCCAGCCTGGATACAGCTTTCTGGGTTGGTGGGAATCCTCCCAGGGACACCTAATTGCCCCAGGAAATGTCATATTCTACCCTCAGTGCCCTCTTGAGCTCAGCCAACCAGTTTACATTTTCCAGCTCAGTCATATTCCTCCCATCTAGGCTAGGACTGGGCATTTTGTTATCACATCTATGTGAACCTTCTTTTTGTACACCTGTTTTTAAGACTTGGCCTATAGCATATGACACAGAGACAGGGTCTGGCTAATGCAGCCAGATTTATGACCCTCACCCAACAAAACCATTTCGGATTCTTGAGGCTCAGGTCTGCCTTCAAAAAGACTTGTATTCTGAGAGCAGGTATCTCTCTGGCTAAGCATACGCTTCCAGCTTAGATGTGTTTGGGGTGAACATATGTAAATGAACCTAGCTCAGTCCCACAAAGCTGGCCTTTCCAGAAGTCTCTGATGTGCTCACCCAATTCACCTTTGGTTGGTTTCCCCAAGAGGAATTTGTGAATTAGAAAAGTCCTGGGTGTCTGACTATTAGAATTTTTGATGCAATGACCAGGGAATGTCAGCCCCTATAAATCTCAGTGTGTGTGTGTGTGTGTGTGTGTGTGTGTGTGAGAGAGAGAGAGAGAGAGAGAGAGAGAGAGCATGTTCAGTAACACAGTCTGGTATGTTGGGTGGGGGGTGAGGCCATTGCAGAGTTGTCTGCTGAAACCTTTCCCAACTACCCCCCCTTTTTTCTGAATACATGTTCATTTCTGGTTTGCCATTAAAAATTATTTCCAATAACCTTTAATGACAAAATTTCATTTTGTATCATATTAAAGTGGACAGACAAATTATTCCAGAATTAAAGTAATGCATGCCCACCTGTTTAGGACCACACATTACCTATATGCCCCACTCAGGTTTCTTGGCCACTGCAAATACACATTTCTGTTTGATCTACATGTAAAGGCTGACTGTTTAATACCTCTTCACATATTTGCATACCCAAACAAACTTGAAATCAAACACAGGGAAAAAAAAACACTGAATCTTTTAATGTTTTCACAGGAGTATGTACAAAAGTGCATCTGTCTTAGACCATCTAGTTATACCTTTATACAGACACCGATCGCATTGTCTGAGCTCCTGTGAGGTCGAGTCAATCATTTCTGTCTGCGGCATCAGAAAAGCTCCTCTTTGCTCAACATGCACACTCAAGAACACACACGCGCGCCTCAGGGAACAGACTAAAATGCGCACTCAAACAGGTGTCTCTACCGTCTATATTTTGAGAATTGCCCATCACCCTGTACTATGTACATCCCAATCCCACAGATGCCAAAAGACGTGACTGGGAAAAAGCTTCCCATAGTCTTAGTCCCTGGGGATGGATGGAAGACCCTGGGGTGAGGGCATCCTCTCCCCACCCCAGGGCTTCAGTTTGGGCACACGCAGGGCTCTGTCAGGTACTACAGAAACAGGTGGGCTCTAGCAGAGGCTTCTATTTCAATCGGTCACCCCCACTCCCACCTAACTCCCCTCTGAGGACCGGCAGGCAGGGCCCAAGCGCCAGAGCTCTTGCTATCCTGGGTCCAAGTCTCCTCCAGCCCGCTCTGTCCAAGAGACTTGACGTTGCCCGCCTGACACTCTTGCCACCCTGCCCGCCCTGGTGGCATTGGCTTACCAATTAAAGACGTTCTGGACGACTTCAGGCACAGTAGAGGAGAGCTCAAAGTGGAATTCAGGGAGAGGAGTAGTGTTGTGGCCCTCTGAGAGCCAGGTCCTGATGAGAAGCAGGAGCACGGCGGCTCGAAGCATCCCTCGGATTCCCATGGCAGCAGAGCTCTGGCGGCCGGAGAGCGCAAGAGAGCCAACTGCCACCAGGGACAGGGAGGGAGTGGGGACGGTGCAGTGCGAGAGGAAGCTCGGTGCTCGCTAAGAGTCGCCTTTATGGAAAAAGTAACGAGTGTACTGGGAGCAGGGATGGAGGGAGGAGCAGCCCCCGCAGCTCTGCGGCAAGCAGCGCCCCTCGGACGCGCCTGGCAGCAGAGATGGAGCCCTCCTCCGCCCGCTTCTGACTGCGACTGGGCACCCAGCTGGAAGCTCAACTGGCTCCGCCCACTCAGACGGCTGGGCCGAACCAATCCAGCAAGCTCCTGGAGCTGCACTAAAAGGCGCGCACTCTTGCTTCCGCCCGCAGCTTGCGCGCCACCGGGCATCACCCCCTTCCCCCGCCCCTCAGGCCTCTGCAGTCATCCCCAGGCCAGCCTTTGACAGAGAGGGGCGGGACAGGGCCGGGGGTTGAGGAGAGCTGGGTATTGATCTTCGGCTAGGGGCATGGGCCCGGTCCTGCTTTTCCTCTCTGCAAAAATGTAAAATTTTTTTGGAAAACCGTGTGTTCGTGTGTGTGTGTGTGTGTGTGTGTGTGTGTGTGTGTGTGTGTATGTGTGTGTGTTGCGAAGGGAATAAGGTGATTTGACTGCTCTGGCTGAATATACGTTCTAAAACAGCTGGACACATTTGGGAATCAGGAGGTATCTGACTGATGTTCATTGTCATCGTGCTTTGCCTCTCTGGAGCCTATGGGTGATCACCAATGGATTTTGTGACACAGCTCTGGCCATAATGGGAGTGCCCCTCTATAAAGATGGAAATTGAGCTCCAGTTGCCTGAGAGTTTCTTGAAGACATTAATTTCCCAGAATACTCTTGACCCCAAGTTTGAGTTCCAGGGACAAAGTTCAGGGAATTGGAAGGGTTTACTAAGTGGGATTGCCCTGATTTGTGACTGTCCCATAGCTAGGGCATGCAGAGTTGAAGTGAGAGTCCATGACTGATACCATGGAAGGAGAATAAAGACAAAGGTCAGTAGTATTTCGAATGCTCAAGGGAGTTAGACCCTGGACAGCAGTCCATGACAATGGTCCTAAATTCTGGCTCCAGAAATTAGGAGCTCTTTTGTAAAAAGCTCTTTTTCTTTCCATTACCTTGAATACTGTCCTATGAAACAGAAGGATCTCTGAGGATAAGGAAAATTCTCCACCCAGTCCCCTCTGTCTTTTCCATCTCAGACTTGTGACAAAGCAAATTCAGAAAGAGGTCCCTCAGAGCCTACATGGACCAGGAGGGCAATCAAGAAATAGACCTCAGTCGTGCTCACTAGTGCCAAACCTCCTAAGGCAATGATAAGGATTGCAATGAAAATAAGTTTCTAGTTAATTCTTGGTTGATTAGAACATTCACACAGAAATACAGCCCTCTTCCCCTTTTCCTTGGTATTTGGTGAAGTGAGTTGAGATTATTTGTGCCCAGCAGAGATGTAGTTGCCTGGCTGACTGAGGTTCCCCACAGCTAAGGGTTTAACTCTATCCCTGCTTTCTAAACCACTTTAGAATCAACTTAAAGTCTCATAGTTCTCTGCCTTCTTTTTTTAAATTTTTATTTAGTTATTTTTCAAGTACAGTTTTCTGTTTATTTCTCCCATTCCAGCCCACCCCTCCCCCATGCACCCCACCTCCCTCCCATTTCTACCCCCTTAGGTATTGTCCCTGTGTCCTTTATACTTGTTCCTCTAAATTCCTCCCATTTTCCCCTTAAATTCCCTCCCCTCTCCCCTCTGGTCACTGTCTCTCTGCCTTCTTTTAATGATCAGAGAACCCACACGTCTTCTTTTCCCTCTCTTTCCCCTGCCATTGCAGCAAATACTCTCTTTCCCACATGGGTACAGCAGTAAAAAAGGGCAGTGGGACCTATATGTCACTATCACATACAGGAATTGATCAATCAAACACACTCTTACTGCTATTAGTTCTGTCCCCATTTTCCCTGGTCACCCAGGCATCATTGTAGAGACAATTCTTACTTTATAAAAGTGGAAGGGCTATTCTAAGTCATTTCCTCTAAACATCAGAATTATAGTATGAGGAAACTGAGGCCTAAAGAAGGAAAAGGGAAAAAGGGGTTAACTTAATACAGAAAGGTCACATAACCCCAGAAGTCCAAACTAGATTCCTCATTTCCAGGTTTGCTTATTTCCAGATATTATTTTTTTCATAAAAAATTTATCAGTTAATTTGAGCCAAAGTGCTGACATATGCTGGGGAGCAAGATTTCAAATTTAACCCCCATTAAAATTTTAAAAAATGTTAATTGTATTTTTTCCATTACCATTTAGTCCCTTTTTATCCACCCCCTGCCCAGCAATCACCACATTGTTGTCCATGACCATGAGTCCTTTTTCCTTTTTACTCAATCCCTCCACCTCCTGATCTCCCCCACACTAGCTGTCATCTTCTCTGCATCTATGAGTATGTCCCCATTTTCCTTGTTAATTCAGTTTATTCGTTAGATTCCACATATGAGTGAAATCACATGGTATTTAACTTTATCTGATTGGCTTATTTCACTTAGCATAATGTTCTCCAGGTCCATTCACACTGTCACAAACAGTAAAATTTTCTTCTTTTTTTTTTTTTTACAGCTAAGTAGTATTCCATTGTGTAAATGTCCTATAATTGTTTTATCCACTCATCTATTGGTGGACACTTGGGCTGCTTCCATAGCTTGGTGATAGTAAATAATGTTGCGATGAACATAGCTGTTCTTATGTTCTTTTTTTTTTTGGTTCCTTTGGATATATTCCCAGAAGTGAGATCGCTGGATCAATAGGCAAATGCATTTTTAATTTTTTGAAGCATCTCCATGCTGCTTTCCAAAGTGGCTGCACCAGTCTGCATTTCCACCAACAATGCAGAGGGGTTCCCCTTTCTCCACATCCTCACCAGCACTTGTTGCTTGTTGATTCATTGATGATAGCCATTCTGACAGGTGTGATATGGTGTCTCATTTTGGTTTTAGATGGCATTTATCTGATGATTAGTGACATTGAGCATCTTTTCATATGTCTATTGGCCACCTGTATGTCCTCTTTGGAGAAGTGTCTATCCAGGCCGTTAGCCCACTTTTTAACTGGGTTGTTTGTTTGTTTTTTTTTTGTATTGAATTTTGTTAGTACTTTATAAATTTTGCATGTTAACCCTTTATCAGATATATCAGTGAATATGTTCTCCCATTCTGTGGGTTTTCTTTTTATTCTGTTGATGATTTCCCTTGCTATGCAAAATTTTTTTTAGCTTGATGTAGTCCTATTTGTTTTTTGGTTTTTGTTTCCTTTGGCTGGGGAGATACATCTGATAAAAATTTGCTACCAGCAATGTCCAAAATACTAGAAGAAAACACAAGCAGCAAAATCTCAGACACTGAATTGTTTTTTTCAAAGTGTGATTCAGCTTTGAATGGAACTTCAGGCAACTGCCAGCAGGTGGGAGTAGATTTATTAAGATGCAGGATGTTCTGGCACTTTGGAATCAAATTCCACAGGCAATGGGTCACTCATTTGTTAGGGAAAACAAGTCTGAAGATCAAAGTTTTATTTTTAGGTACTCTTGAGACTGCAGAGGTTGCCAAAAAGTTAATGATGATAATTTCACTTCCAGACCTTACATCCCAGAGGACCCTGACAAGAAATACAGCCCAACAACAACAACAAAACAAAAATGTACTTGTTGAACTTTTGTCTAGTTAATTTATTAGAATACCCACAAATATCCAAAGTAAATGGACTTAAACCTGGATATGGGATTATGGTGTGAGGGAAATATCACTGACCTGGAATTTAGCCCATCTGTCTTCTGGATCCAGGTCCACCACATGACAATGGATATACCAGTTTGGCTGCACTGTATGGTAAGTTTGGAGTTAAACAAGAGGTAAGAGAGGTAAGAGGCAGGCTATCAGGCATAATATGGGCTAGTGAGCACCACACACACACACACAGTATACAACAAATAAATAAAACAAGGAAGAGAGTTTTGTACTTAATTGTCTACAGTAAGAAATTTGGATTTTATTTTAGAATAAACCATAAGCTTTTGAAATGTTTGTTCAGAGACCACACTTGATCAGTGTGGTGTCTTGGAAGAATCCCTGGTTACTTTGGAAATAAGAACTGGAAGGGAGACTGAGGACAATGAGAGTAGTTAGAAGCATATCATATAACTCTGCTTATGGTAATGGCAGACTAGGTAGTTTGTACTAACTTCCCCAGTGAGTTTGGAGAGACAAACTGGATGAAATATAGGAAGAAATTGTCTTCATAAAAAGCTAAAAATAATGAGGATAATCTATAGATTCAATAAAATGCCCATCAAAATTCCAAAGGCATTCTTTTTGTAGAAGTAGAACAAGCAATCTTAAAATTTATATAGAACCACAAAGACCCCCAAATAGCCAGAGCAATCTTGAAAAAGAAGAATAAGGCTGTAGGCATCATAATTCCTGGTTTCAAACTTTATTATAAAGCTATAATAAGCTAAACAGTACAGTACTGGCATAAAAATAGACACACAGACATAGAGAACAGAATTGAGAGCTCAGGAAAAAGCCAAGCATATAAAGTCAACTAATAATTGACAAGGGAGCCAAGAAGACTCAGTGGAGAAAGGATAGTATCTTTAATAAATGGTGTTGGAAAATTGGATAACCACATGCAGAAGATGAAATTGGACCCTATCTTATACCAAGTGCAAAAATTCACTCAAAAAAGATTAAAGACTTAAATATAAGACTTGAAACTATAAAACTACTAGAATAAAACACAGGGAAGAAAGGTCCTTGGCATTAGTCTTGGCAACTATTTTTTTGATATGGCATTAAAATTATAAGCAACAAAAACAAAAATAAAAAATAAGACTACATCAAACTAGAAACTTCTGCATAGCAAAAGGAACAATCAGCAAGATGAAAAGACAAGCTACAGAATGGGGGGAAATATCTGCAAACCACATGTCTGATAAGGTGTTAATATGCAAAATACATAAGGAACCCATACAATTCAATAGCAAATCATCAATTATCTGATTTAAAAAATGTGCAGAGGAACTGAATAGATAATTTTCCAAAGAAGGCATACAAATAGCCAACAAATTTATGAAAACATGGGTCATACCACTAATCATTAGGGGAATGCAATTCAAAACCACAAGGATTTATCACCTCATACTTAATTGGA